GCGTCGCGCCGGGAGCGCGGGGAGCGCGGGGCGGGGCGCGGCAGGTGCGCGGAGGAGCAATGGCGGCGGCCTGAACTCACCTAGCAGCGCGGTGGTTTCCGGCCTGGTCAGGCTCGGGGTTCTGTGAGTGAACAGTAAGTACGGGCCAGAGAGCCCAAAGAGGCGCGAGAGAGGGAATGAGGGGCTGGGGGATGCCGGCACCACCGGGCTTGGTGACCTGGTTGTGAGGGGCAGGGGCTGGCATGAGGTGAGGGGCGGCTGTGAGGGTCTCAGGTAAGCGGAGCAGGGGAGCCGGGAGTGAGCTGGCTGAGTAAAGAGCTGAGTTGTATGAGAGGCGGGGATGCTTTATGAGTATGAGAGGCCAAATGGAAGGGACTGTGAACACGCTTTTCTGAGGGGCTGGGGCTCCTGTGGACAGGAGTGAGGGACAGCCCTGGCACCAGGGTGAGGGGCTGGGGCCTGTGCGTGGTCGGGGTGGGGGTGGGGGGACAAGGGGGAGGACAGGGCGAAGGCGAGAGCATGCCGCTGGTGGTGAACTGGGAGGGAGTTGAGGGTAGAGCATGGAGGAAGGAATGCGGCTTGTGAGACTTGGGTCAGGGTGAGAGGTTGGTTCTGAAGCCTCCTTCAACGGAGTGTCCTGCCTAGTGAGAGCAATAGTTTTGGATTGAGTAGCACAACTTGGGTACAAGTGTTGTGCACTTGGCTGTCTCCTGCATGGGCTCTGCCTATTTTGGAGGACCGAAAAAAGAAGGCAGCATGGGCAACAATAACAATGATAATGAAAATCATTTGTGAGGCTTAGTCTTCAGCTGGAGTCATCATTGGCATCCCTTGTTCCCTCAAGTTCCTCCTTGGGACTGCACACTGGAAGGTGGTCCCTCTCATAGAGATTTTTTGGCTGTTACTGCCTGTATTTGTTTTCTCTCCACCTGCTTCTGGGCACCCTTGCTTCGCTGCTGCTCCCTACCTGGCTGAGCTATGGGGCATTGATGGTTGGTCCTCTGTGTTGGGCTGACCACTTTCAGTTGCTAATTCTACTTATATGTAAATCACATGGTTTGTTACATACACTGCTGCATTTACACTCCCAAACAGGATGGGTTTTGCTCTCATTTTCTTACAATTAAAGTAAAAAAAAAAGACTAATTTGTTTATAATAAACTACTCATATTTAAAACATAAAAAAATTATGTCTGAAAAATTCCGAATTTGATAAACGTTATAAATCTAGAGATCCAAGTTCAATTAACACAAAGAACAAGAAACACGAAGAAAACTTCACCAATGCCTATCACAATCAAATTGTTTAAAACTGATGATTAAAAAAATCTTAAAAGTGGTAAAAAAAAAACCAACATATAAACAATGTAAGCAGAATATAGTTGGGCAATGTCTCTAAAGTACTGAAAAAATAATTCATCAACATAGAATTCCATGCCTGCGAAATTATCTTTCAAAAATAAAGGCAAAATAAGGACGTCTTCAAACAAGCTAAACAAGTTTACTACCAGCAGACTTACAGTATAAGAAATGTTCATTGAAGCCCTTCAGACAGAAAGAAAATGATCCCAGGTGTAAGTCTGGATCTACACAAAGGAATGAAGAACACCAGAAAGAGTTAATAGGTACATAAACATAAATATTGTTTAAACAAATCTCTTGAAGTGATAATTGAATGCTTAAAGCTAAAATAATAACAATATATTGTGAGTTTTATAACAACAACACATGTAGCTTATACAATATATAAAACAACAGCACAAAGCCTGGGAGAGGGTGATTAGACATACACAGCTGGGAGATTCTTATACTATTTGTGAAGTGGTAGACAATATGAAGACTTTTTCTCCAGGATCACTGCTTATTTTTATATATTTTCATGTTTTCTTTTATGTCCTTCATACGTAGGATGATTTTTTTACATATGCCTTGCAAATTTTATATTAGATTTAATTTTTAATTCAACTTTAATTTTTATCAAATACATGTACATAATTTGTCATATGCTATTACAAAAATAGTATTCTTCCAGCTTTCTCCAGCTCCATTTTTTATTCCACTACCACAAATGTTTTCCAATCCTTATTTCTGATATTTATCTTTATATTTCTAGTATCATTCTTGTACTTCTATTTTTAAGTTTTAAATTTATTTTATTTCCTACTTATTTCATGCTTTAGAAGAGAATTTAGCTCTCTTACATTACCCCCACACATACTTCTCCATCCCCACATACTCCTATTTGTTACACCATATTTTTTTTTGCTAAGTAAAATGTTCAGTGTCAATATTAATATGACTGTAAAAACTTTATTCCCAGATAAGCTATACAATATACTATAATTACATTTCCTTTCTTGTACAACTTTATTTTTTTCTTTTTTGCTGAGTTTTTTGTGTACCTATCACTAATTGAGCCTAAGACCTCCCAAGAAAACTACAAAATTTATTTCAATATGGTCAAGTAAAGTAATATGTATATTTTATTTTTTCTTTTAAAAATCTTAGGGACTGCTTCTTGTTCTTGCTGTTATGGTGGTAGTCATTTAACAACTTTACAGAAGGGGACTGCCCTCTTGGCCTGATTTGTAAGTGACCGTAGTAAGCAGAGATTGTCTGCTAACTAAGCTAATCTACAATGGACATGTAGTGTGAGACAGAAGTTAATCTTTGATGTTCTAATTCACTGAGGGCTTTTTGGAGTTGTTTATTGCTGCAGCATAACTTAGCCTGTCCTGACTGTTACAGTATTCCTTTAGCTAAATATAAGTGCTGAACTTCAGTCATCCCATGTTTTGCCTCTGCCATCAATCTAGGATGTCCTTTGACCTCTTCCTTTTCTTGCATCCCTGTTTTTGGAATAGCAAGTCTTCCTCTTTCTTATTTTACTCTATTGTTTTGGTGGCACACATTCTTCAGTAGCTTCCTTAGAAAGACTTGTGGAAAGTAAAGTTTTTGAGACTCTAAATGTCTGAAATATGTCACACTAGATATGATTCGTAACTTGGCTGAATTCAGGTATTTATGTTAGCAATATTTACCCTTCAAAATTAAGATGTTAATTCTTTAATTACTTGGTAAAAGTGTTATTATATGAAATCCAGTGCCATTTTAATGTAACCTATTTTCCTTTCTGTGAGTTTGAAGAATCTTCTCTTTGTCCTGAGTGCTCTGAAATTTCACAGCAGTGTGCCTTGGTGTGCCTTTGTGCTTTGTAGTTGAATCTGGAAACCATGTACATCAGTTCTAGAAATTTTCTCATATTGTTTCTTCAGTAATGTCCTCCCCACCATTTTCTTGGAGCTTTCTCTTTAGAATTCCTGTTATTCAGATGCTGGATCTCCTAGATTGATCCTCTAATTATTTTATCTTTTCTCTACCATTTTTAAGTCCTTTATCTTTTTGTTTTAGTTTCTTGGATATTTTCTCAGCCTTATCTTCCAACTATCTTCTTGGTTTTTCTTTGTTTTGTTTTCCATATATACTTTAAAATTTCCAGAGCTCTTTTGTGTTCTCTGTTGTCTTCATTTTTTCCTTTTCCCCCTTCTTTCCTTCCTTCTGTCCCTCCTTTACTTTCTTCCCTCTCTCTAGTTTTTTAAAAAATCTTTTATTGTTCAGAAGAACATTAAAAGATTTTTTTCCCTCTGTGCTTGTTTATCTCGATCTTGTTAGAGATTTTAACCAAATGTCTAAGGATCCTTGGCTAGTCATTCATATTGTGAGTGAGTCGCTAAAACGCTAATTGGAATTTCCAGGAACATGGGTTTTACCATTAAGATTTTTTGTTGTAGAATTCTGGTAGGTCCTATACAGCACATTTATTTAAGAACATTTATTCTCATTATTAGCTGGCTAAGATGAAATTTAAAAAAAAAAAGAATGGATTGTATTTCAAAAATGCTTTCTTGGCATCTGCTGAAATCATCATATACTCTTTAACCTTTAATCTGTTAATGTAGTTTCCTAATGGTAGGGTTTCTAACAGTGGTATTTCAGAAGGGTTTTGTTGCCCTTCTCCAAGGAGAAGCTAAAAATTTCTGCTTTTTAAGGAAGGGGAAGCTGGGGTGGGAAGGCTGACAGTGCTGTTCATGCTGCCCCTGTTTAGGGCTGGTGTTGTACCCTCTGTGCTCTGTGCAATGCAGAAGTTAACATGTTCCTTTTCAAAACAAGGATTTGACCTAGAAAGACAATGACATATTTTAAGGAGTCAACTAAGTTTGTTGTTATTCTTAGACATTTTGTGTTTAATACAGTTTTTGCTTTATGAACAGCCCATATGGCATTAAATCCCCTTACTAGCATGACATCTAAGGCATTGCATTTGACACATTTTAAGCATAAGAAAGCGTATTTACAAGATGTTTTTTCAATGAGCTCCTCATCTGTGGTTTAGCTACTTTCCTTACCACAGCATAGCTTTCCTCTTACTCTTTATCATCACATGGCAATCAAAAGACCAAGACTTTTTTTCCTTCTGCTGTATCTTAGTCTTTCACCTACTTCCCCAAAGAAGAAGGAAGAGTAAGAGTCCTGTTCTAATCATTAGCATCAGCTGTGAAGGAGTGTCTGAGTTGCCCAATATGCCAAGGGATATTTAGCTCAGATTTTTCCTTAAGCATTAAGGTAACAAA